TTAAGAGAAACCTGGGGAACTTAAAAAACATCTTGAAGTCACTCGAAGAGTCTTCTTACTGTCTCAGATATCAGTCAAACTGCAGAAAGACAGGCTTATTTTTTGATGTGGGAATATCTTCGTATGCTCAGGGATTGCTAAAAATTAGCATACGTTTTTTTCATTCCTTAGTGTTTTTATATATCTATTGACAAAGATCACATATTGTCTTTACTGTGTATCTAATGACATCATTTCTAAAAGAAAAGAGCAAATGAATTAAAATTCTGGAAGATGGTCATTAACGATACAAGTGAGTGTGCAAAGTGTTATGGTAGTTATGATAAAATAAATGTGATATGAAACAAAATGATACAATATGATATAATATGATGCAATACACTACAGCAACACATGATACCATGCAAGTTGAAGCAGTACAATACAATATAGTACAGTGCAAAGCAGAATGATACGATACAATACCACACATATGATAAATGTTATAATCTGATATAATACTGGACTGTACAACTCACTACAACAGTATTCGACATTAAAATATAGAATACAATACTATATGATACAGTACAGTGTGGTTAGTATAAAATAATACTATTTGATTGGAAATGATAAGATATGATATGACACAATACAATTTCACATCTGATACCAAATGTACCTGATATATGATGCTGTACAATACAACAAAATATGATGCACCTTATTGTTCCCTGTATAGTTAGTCTACAGAGAAGCACATACCAATGAAAACCACATATAATGCATATTATCCATGTCGCACATGCCTTGCATAAAATCTGTTACACAGAAATAAGGGTTAGAAAAGTCAACAAGAGTTTTTTTTTTTCTGCAAACCAACCCAAATCTGTGTCCACTTCCTCCTTGGAAACTTGTCTTACCTTTTTGGAAAGTTGTATTTCCACTGGACTGGGCAGCTAATTATCTGGTTAACTGTGCAGTCAAGCAGGTCGAAATAAACAAATCCAGTTTACACTCAGATTACACTGTCACTGTCTATCTATATAATTATCAGAAAAAATATGATGTCCGTCCACAACGTCTGGTCCCTGTCAACTGAGAACATGAAGCATTAGCATACTGTAGCATTTAGCCTGGCTGGGACAAAGGAGTGTAATGTGGGCTACCTGACACATTCTGGACTTTCTTTGGGATTCAGAGCATTAAGGCCATCTTACAGGGTCTTTCTCCTGTCCACTCTCTGTGAAAGAGTGATGTTTCCTCTGTGGACAACTAATTATCTGTGCCTGACCCTCAGCTGTCTGAATGCAGGATCCTATTAGGCAGCTAGCAGGTTGAAATCACTGCTACCGACCCCCTCCGTTCCCCTCCCGTTGTATATATTTATTTCCCTTCACTTCCTGCATCTGAATATTAAGAATAGATTTTTACATGTATATGTGCATGCTGGGGATGGGATTGATGGTGATGGTGGTGGTGGCGGAAGGAGGAGGGCGCGGAGGGGGGATACTCTGCTGATGGGTGAATGGCGGGCCTGAAAATGACGAGCAGGGCTGACTGAATGCTTGTCCATCACTCCCCATTCTCTTGGTTACAGGTGGTCTCTCATTTTCCCCGACCGGCGCATATCTGCCTGCCTTTATATGACAGCCTGGGCTCGCCAATTTGCATGTACGACAGACAACAAACGGGCCTGTGCATGTCAAAATAGGTGGCGGTGCGTGACAGTTTCTACACAATGCTGTCTCCTTTGGCTTGACCCTCGACCTCGTGCCATGTCTCCTTTCATAATCAGGGAGAGGGGAAGACGGGGCGAAGAAATCATCCAGCCTTCCTTCCTGCCTCCTTCTGGTGCTGCCTCTTTGGAATAAATCTGATACCAATGCCATTAGCTATGCTTTCCCTCTCTCACTTTCTCTTATTCTTAGTCTGTTTTGTTCTGTCTTGCTGACTGTCTGTCTTTCTCTACCTCCCTTGTCTCCCCTCTCCTGTTTGTGTTTTGGTATAAAAGCACTCAAATTTAAAGAGAGGCTCGTCTCAGTTTGTCTGTTGTTTCAAGATAACACTTCAGTTACTTTTCCAGACAGAGATAATGAGATCTGTCTTCTCTTGTTGTGACCAAATCAGTGCCAAAAGTGAGATTATTATTTTTGAATGCTTGCTTGTTTATTTTCATATGTTGAACTGGCTGACTTGAAAAAGTTTAGAGAAATATGTTTATCCTGCAATTAAAACTCCCCACTTTAAAGCAGGCAAGCGGGAACATATCATTGGTTTCATCTTATCAAAAATCATCAAATGTTCAACAAAATTGCTTTGCAGCAAGACACTCACGGGTTTTTTCATTATTCATCTTGTGTTTCATCTTTCATGAAAGCAATACCTCCCATTGAATACATGATAATGAGCTTCATATCAACATTTTCATCACTCTGATTAACACTGTGATAGCACTGGAAGACTAATTGCCTTTTAACACCTGTGACATTTTCCCTTTCCCACTTTTATTTTAATGAGTGTTTGATATCTCTACATACATTTTGAAAAAGTGCTACTGAGTGCACTCTTTTTATTAGAAAACTTCCACTGCACAGGCTTCAGTAATTTACTCGTGAACTTTCCTCCCCTTGTTCCAGTGGATAAGAAGCTGATTTAAAATGGATCACCATGTAGAACTGCATATCCAGGAGTGGGGTTTTAGACTTAAGACATAATCACACTGCTGGGTTTTATTAAGTCTTATACTTTACATATTTAAGGAGACCGTTACATCATTAGCCGGTGTAGAATGGGGCAGTGTTAAAAGTCAGTGTGGTATCAGAGGGAGGTTAACAGAGAAGGGGGCACTGGGTATTGAAGAGGGCGCTTCATCATCAGCATATAGTGAAATAATCCTGAATTATATGCTAATCAGCAGAACTGAAACGCCATATCTCAGTCAAGGAACTTGTGTTTAAGCACTTTCCTTGATCAGAGCATGCTGGTGGTGTAGGCCTTTGTTAAGTTACTTGCAGTTCTTTTCTTGCTGTACATGGCTTGGCTGCCCCATATGGTTGGGATATTTGTAAGGTATTTCAATCTTCATGTGTAATGGTTATCACTGTCCTTGTGTGTACTGTATCTCATAATTGAGAAGAGACCAGGAGACTTTTTCATTTAGCCTTTAGACCATGCAGTATATGATGCTATCGTGTGAGTTTGTCTGAAACACAGTCAAAAAGCTGTTCAGCTGATAATATAATATGTCAAATTCTTGAAGTTGGTTTATCATACATAGATAATGCGGAAAGGGATTGATTTTCTCTTGCCTGGATACACCTCGATCAGACCCGAATTGGTATAAGCCTTCTGCTCAACCTGCAGGCAACCTAATAGGAGCTGGCCAAAAGTGAGCATATCACAACCATCACAGTAGTGGTGGACATACTGCTGTCAATTAATCAGCTCTCACCTGGGGCTTGAATACGAGGATAAGGGCAATAGTCCAGTTATTCTGCTTAATCTAAGTATAACCCAAGCTTGACTGCGCTGAGTAGTTAAACACACTGAGTTAACTATTCTGTTAAGAACTGAAGCAGCGTAAATGTTTTTTTCTTTTTTTTTTCTATTGGTCTTTATTTAACACCAATCTGTGTCCTTTCTGATTCCAAAATAAGGGCCTGTGGCCATTAGCAGCATTTGTCACCTTGGCTGTGTTTATTTTCTACACATAACCAATGCTACGGGGCATTTCTAGACCTCTTCTGTGCTTGTTGAATTCAAATCTCATAATTTGGGAGGGGTAGTACTACTTTTATGAACTTTATCAACAAAAATGGTGAGGGAAAAACTAACCAGACTTATTTTTTCAGTATTCTGGTCACAAGTTGCAGATAAACTGTTTTTTTTTTTTTTTCTTACATATTCTTAGCTAAAATTATCAAACAAAAGAAAACATGAACCCATAGCAATTCAAAACAGACTTAATGGTCTTGACCAAGGGAAGCTTGAGTGTCATCAGATGTCTTTTGTAACCTAGCAACAGTAAGTGCAGGTTAGAGATCTCTGGCACTGATGTCATGAGGAAAAAAGGGGCTGTAACTAGACAGCTTTTGAGACCTTCAGTAGGCGCAGGTTAGGTGCAGGTTTGGAGGCACTCTGACATCATGCTACCAGCATAAAATTCAAGAAGTGAACACAGGCCCATAATAACAAAATATGAAAAAAAATAAAATTTTCACCACAGAATTGACACCAACTAATCTTCATCAAGGCTTGATGAAGCTTTAACAGAATGCATCAAAACGCAGTAAAATTAATGTCACAACCCTCCAACCAGCACTCTCATGGATAATGTGTTTTTATGCTGTTAACATCAAACATTTTTCTTGTAATGTTTTTTTTTAAATCCTCACAATGCAATAATGAGAAATGCACACATTTTTGTGCTGCCATACTTTACTTGCATTTAACAAACCCTTTTCAAGCTACACACGTGTTTCTTTATGAAAACATTGCTTCATATCTACACTCTCACGTTTCCTTGACAAAGATTTTTTTCACTATCTTGATAGTTGTTGTCTTTTCAAAAGGCTCCCACTTAAGGTAATTTACCTTGATAATCCAGATGAACTATGAGTGACCTTATGGCTAAATACATGCTGATACGCCATAAACAATGTCATTTTTGAAGTGGCTGCTTATTTCAAGAGTTTTAAGAAAAAGAAAAGGCTATAGCTCCAAGGCCACACAACCGTGAAACTGACAGTAATCTTCTCCTAATCTCCTGTTCAGCTTTGAAGTGGCTGGCAGTGAAGCATGTAATAATAATTATTACTCCTGTCATCACCAGTGTCAACCTATTTAATAGTAGCTGTGTAAACATTTAACACAGGAAGAGGTTCCTGCCCCTGAAGTGCGTGGGAACTTTCCGCTTTTTGGATAAAGACATCCAGCACCGTTGTCTCTTTGTTTCTTTCTTTTGGTTGAGAAGCAGCATCTGACTCCTGGGGATTACCTTTAATGTTGCGTTAATCCATCCCATGGAGTCCTGCATGTTCTGCCATTGCAGGGATCATTCTTTGATATCAAATGCTGAGGGAGAGAAACTCTAAAACCACTTCAGATCCCTCTTGTGAAATGTGTTGTCAAAACACTAGAGGAATGCGAAATGTTGAAACCACAGTGTGTTTCAACCAGTTTCCGTCTCCGCCTCTGCAGTTCCAGGTAGTGGATCTGCAAAGCAAAAAGACACAGGGGGGCAAAAACAGGTAAAAATAGATGAATTGAGAAAAGAAACACACAAGGAGGTGGCATGAAGTATGAAGAGAAGAATTTTTTTTCTTCCCAGGCCTCAGAATTTGGCAGAAACCAAACCAACGCAGACCAAAATGTGTGCTTTGAAATTTCACAGTCAGCAAAAGAAACCGACACTGATTGATAGTGGCATGAAAACTGGATTTACCGATAGAATAGAAACTGAATCCTCTAGTTTAGCCAAACTGTGATGACCAAAGTGTTAAGAGCAGTCACAGAGAACTTCATGAACAAGATGCTCTCAAGAAAATTCAATACTTTCTAAACAGAAAGGAGTGTTCATTCCCAGTAAGATGTCACTTTTCCCATCACATACTTGCAGAAGTGACATTTTCTTCACCTCGAGGACACAACAGGGATGAAAACAGAAACTTGTGCTTCTTTAACTTTACTCACTTGAATAAGGTAAAATTAAGGAAATCTAAAGATAATTTTCTTACACTCTGATGCACCCTGTGCTGATGTATCACATCCATTGTATCAATTGTAGCCTCTTCTGTATTTATATTCTCATATGACAGAAAATTTCTACTATTATTCTGTGTAGGAGCAGGAAAAAAATGAAGATGGAAAGGTTTGGTTGTTCGGCATATTAATCACTATGCTGAAGGGGAAAAAAAAGAAGAAGAAAAAAGAAACAAACAATGAACAATGACAGAGAAGATAATGTTATTCAATTGTCTGTCTGAATCTCCATCAGCAAGCTCCTGTCCTTACATCACAGACACACTCTCTCATTAGCAGTGACAGCTAAACATCATTGGGTGTGTGTATGCGCCTGTGTAACGACTGTTGCTATGACCATCATTCAAATTTAACTTCACTCTGTTTGTTCTTCTCCTCATCCTCTCGCTCTCCCTCCACCCCCCCTCCTCCTCGCTGGGTTTTTATGAGCCTGTTATTTATTTCCCTCATTAGCGATTGTTTCTTTCCATTAGAGAGCGCCTCTTCATGCCAGCGCTCTCCTCAGGGAGAGCAGAGAGAGACCTGTGCTCCTCTTGGCAACGAGCGCTCCCTTTCTAACCCTCTTAAATAGAGTTGAAACGATTCCCCCATCCCACTGCCATCTCCACCCGTTTTAGGATCCAAAGGGAGGTTTTGGCTGGGGTGGGCGTTTTTGTTTGTGTGCCTGAAAGGAACAGAAGTAAAAATATGAAGTAAAGATTTGATCATAAGCTCCTGCCTTTACCTGCGCGCTGACATTCTTGTGAGTCAGGTGCCACCCCTTGGTACCTCCTCCCCCGCCCCCTACCCCCAGCGCGTGCACACTCTCCGGTACACGCAGGAATTTCCAGATCCCAAAGACAACACAGAGGGCCCTCCGACATATTTGCCGTCATCCTCTTATTAACTCTCCCCGTTTGAACAGAGGCACATCAAAAGTAAGCAAAACACATAATTACTGGCATTAATATAACGAGCTCTTGGAGATAAGCCACTCTCCTAAGCCCGCACCACCACCCCCACCTCCTGTACTCAAAGGGCATGAAGGAGGGGAAGAGCAGAGGGAAGGTAGAGCGCCCTTTCAATTAAGTGAGCCGTTCAACCAACATGAACAAACATATTTAGTAGATAATTAGTAGATAATTTTGCAGGTATGTCTGGCACAGGCCACAAAAGGCAGTGTTAAGGAAAATAGCAGGGAGGGAGTCAAAGGAGGGAGGCTTGTGGGATGTGCAAAATGCCCCGTAGCTCTGATAGACTCTTAACAGTCATTAACAATGTAGAAAGAACACACACCCACACACACACACAAACACACACAAAACTAAAACCCTGTTCCCACCTTTCCTTTACACAAGCCTTCGTCTTTCCTCCATCCCTCTTCCCCCCTCCTCTCCCTCTCTCTCTCTCGCTTGTTCTCTTCGCTCTCCGAGGAGCCCTAGTTTTCTGTATGATGAGCTCCTGGGGGGCTTGAGTGTTTGGCAGGAGGCTTTGTCTCTCATACGAGATGAAAAAAAGAGAAAAAGAAAGGGAGACAGAGAGAAAAGACGGCGATGGAGAAGGAGGGTGAAAACTTGAGACCCCTGGGGGCAACTTCTCCCCACATTGTGAGGATTTGCCTAACAGCTTCACAAGAGGGTTTACATCTTCCTCTGAACACGAGGGGTATAATCACAGATCAAAACAAATTACCTATCTGTAGTCAGCAGAGGTGTCTGCCTGTCAAGAGCCCAGAGTTACATAAGATTTAAGTCAGTGCTAACTGAGCCTCTGATTTGGGGCACGGGGTGAATTCTTACTTTGAAACGTTAACCGTACGAAGGCCTGGCGGTAAGACGCCACTGGTGCATACCACACAAACTGACTCTGAAGAACAAAGATTTGCTTTGATAATTATTAGCACTCCTCCGTGGTGACATTGTCGTGACTTTTGATTAACTTGAAGCCGGGGACTGAATAAATATTGAGGGGGTTTAGCTTTGTGCAGGACCATATCAATGAACCCCACCGAAGAAACACACAAGCGCTGCAATCCAGTTCATGACAAGAAAAGTGACAGCTGAATTGTCTTTCCAGAGATCGATGTGCAGTGACATGATTGCAGGGAAGAGTCGTCACGCTGGTGGTCTGATTTTCAAACGTGTGCGCATCGGTGTCTGAGGCCGACTGGGCGTAATTGAGTTTTCAAAAATTTCTTCAACACTATCACCAACTCTATTTCTTTCATGTGTGCAGCACTGTAGTGGCCGTTTGCTGATGCAACCACAACTGTGAGGAAGATCAGGGGAAAGAAATAAGGATAGCGCTGCAATAGCAACCTTTGTTTAAGTAATCTTTATCATGGACAGTCTACTGGGGGATCCGAACACATCAGTGATTATCTCTTTGGGAGTTTTTCACTTTGTCTTTGTTAGTAAGGTTTTGATTATACTATATTTTTGCCCTATCTGGTCATTCTAACCCGCTGCCACCACTTCGGAGCACTTCTACAATCCGTTATTTATGTTTACTGGTGACCCTGTGCCCAAGAGGTGGGCTCTTCATTCACACAAGTTATTAAGCCCCTGGATAGGAGCATGGTGTGAAGAAAACACATTTCTTTTCTAAATGGTATCGTCAGATTTTTATGGCCGAAACTTTTTCACACATTTGTTACATCCAAGGACCAATTCTTTTCTTTGGGAGGCTTTTACCTTATATCATGTTGCCACCCGTGAAGGGTAGAAACAGCTTGAGGGGGTGCAAGTTTGAGGAGAGCCTGTACAATAGTAAAACTATCACTGTGCAAAAGTTCAGATGCACTAAACCAGACTCTGTCATGTCATGTGTTGACTTCAGGAGTTTTTAATGCTTGAAGTTTCTTTGAATTGCCGTTTCCGTGTTTAAATTTGAAATCGTTGTCTGAGCAGTAATCAGCTGTTTGAGGTGTGTTGTGGATGGTCTCTTCTGCTTGCAAATTAATCCCCTTTGAAGGAAAGATGGTGTTTCTTTTATAGACAACTATTTTCAGTGTAGTGTAGTGTAGACCTCCAGTCTTAGGAATGCTGCCGGCAACACTGAGTCACCTCAGGGCACCTAAAGAAAGGTTAGCTAAGGTGTCCAAACGGAGACATCTCTATAAACAGTGTCTTTGTGCGGACATCCAGAGCCATTGTTGGAGGATTAAGGCCTTGTCTCTGATGTTTAAGTCAGCCGACAATGCAAGTGTCATCTCTGGGCTCATCACAAGAGCAAAGGGTTGTGGGAATCGTCTGGTCTGATGGTTGGGTTGTGCCTGTCCACAGATCTCTCAGGTGTCAGGTTGGTATCACGGCATATGTCAGCAAGATTATCCCTATAATTACCCTCCTATTACTGCTCAATTAGCTGCAAATGAAGTCCCTAATGCAACTGACACCTCATAGACAAGTTCTTTCAGGTGTTAGACAAATCAAAATGCATGAGTGTCTTCAGACAATGAGGTAATGTGGTAAATTAGATCTGCCTTTCGCTGCGATTCAGAACTTGAGGGAGCTATTAGATGGTTGTCGTCATTTTTGCAGCACTGTCTTACAATTTGACACGGCGCAGTCGAAATTAATGATGAAAGTTTAAAGGAGTATCACCTGCATTTAAGATGAGCCTTACACCTTTAGTTTTAGAAATCTAACTCCCCTGAATCCGAGATTAGCGGATCATAGAATTTCCTCGCCATAGTGAAAACAGCCACGTCTGGCAATGACTCAGTTATTGTTATAAAACGGACTTGAATGAAAACCTCATTAGTTTTATCTTTGAGCTGGAATCAGGGGTGCTGTCTGGCATGGATTCCCAGCAGTCAAAACAGAAAACAAGAGCTCACTGTGTGCTCTTTGAGACATCAAGGTGTCTGATCTGAATTGCTTTAGCTTGGAGGGAGAATGGCTTTACCGTCTCTGTGAAACTGATCCGTGAAGTGGATTAGGGACGGTTCTTCTTTCACTCAAAACAACACAGCTCGAGGAGTTAGACGAGGAGGTGGATAAAGGCCTGTGTGTGTGTGTGTTTGTGTTGGAGAGTGTGGCCCCTATACCACACTTACAAATACATGTTTACCTTGCATTTTATGATATTTTACACTGAGACCGGATGATATACAGGTTGAGCATGCTTGGGAATATTAACAATTTTTCAAAGAAGAGATGATTCGGAAAGTTGCAGACCTTGCATGGAGATTTAGCACTTCATCTTCTCCTAAGTAGGTTACACGGCCCACTTTAGTTTTTATTGTTGGACATGTAGGAGGTCTATCATCCAAATATACAAAAGTTGGACATGTTCAGTGAATTATTTTGGCCACTAACTGAGAACCGCCCAGTACAATGGATAAAAACAGATTAAACTTGATTCATTCCATCACCATGTTTCAACTAGTGAAATAATAGTAGCAGGAGTTCTGCCTGTCTTTGAGAACAAACACAAGTGCCTGGACTATTTCTGCTTTAGAGCTCTATTACAATATTTTCAGATGCCAATATGGCTTGTCACCAAGGTTTTCAGTCCTGAGATGGGGGTCAGACTGCAAACACACACACACACACACACTTAAACACACACACACAGAGTTTGTCCTTGGCCTGGCACTTCTTTTGGCAAGGTGGCGGTATGGCTCCATAACAAATGAGGGACACCCTAGCTGTGCCAATAGTCTCAGTGCCTTGGCAGAGTCCATAAAAATCATCTTTTCTTCCCAGGAGTTACGACTCTGGAGAGTTGATCATTAGTCAGAAATCACAGAAACACAGCCACACAGTCATTCAATGTGACACGGGTCGTAACTAACCTGACTGTGGCGGCTGAGGTCGACAAATCCCTGCAGATGCATGAAAAGGTCCAAACCAACTTACTAGGCATCAAGCAATGACTAAACCGTCCCTGGTTTGAATGCTTTTGTTGTCCTTGTGTGTTGTGACTGAGCTCCATGGGCCTTGGGAACATGGAGAGTAAGGTCCATTAAACATAAAAAAAAAAAAAAAAAAAAAAAAAAAAAGAAATCACTGAGACCTGCAAGTGATTTTCTTTTCATTAGCAGTTTCTCTTTTCCACCTTCATGTATTGCCACATAATGTTACTGTGATAGAAAACAGATTTTATCCTGCTGAAACATACTTGCACAGGTGCTAAATTTGTACTTTCTTTTGAATTAAAGTTAGAGGCTTATTGTCTTTTAAGAGGAAAAAAGGCCCTTATTCTTTTCCTGCTTTGTGATATAAAACTGAGACAAAGTATTACAGTGTTTGAAAGAAGTGCCAACGTTATGTTTTTAAGCTTTGAAATAATCCATTTGAGTTAGTCATATCTAAAGGTGGCAGGAAAGACACTTTCTTTCCACTTACCTGCATTTAACTTGTGACCTAAAAAGCTGAGCATCAATTTCTTGGAAGAGCTGTCCACTGATTTCATGCTGTTTAACACCATCAGGCTCTATGTGGACAGAAAAGATCTAAATTGGTACATCATTATTTCACTTTATATCATTTTCTTTTGCTTTGTAAAAAGCTGGAACCAATAGTATACAAACATGAAATCTCATAACTGTTCAGGTCAGAGATTTCAGCTTGTTAGACAAGAAATTGTTTTGTGTGACCTCTGCAGCCTATTAAGCTACATTTATCAGTAGTATAACTCCATCTTAAAAACACCTAAATATTTGTGTTCAATCCTAAATTGTAGCACATTAATCTCTGAGAGGACAATTTAGAAGTCACTTCCCAAGATCCACGAACAGATGTTAGTTCCTGAAAATGATGTCCAACTTCTCCATATTTGAAATAAGAGGAAGATCTTAATATTTTGCATACATCTTAATACTCCATCTCGAATTAAAGCATCAATCTACAGTTTTCACTTTTCAGCTCCAAACGGTACAAGCTTTTTTTTTTTCTTTTAGAAACACCATTCCTTAAAAAAAAAATAATAAAAAAATAAAACTAAAACTTGTCTAGGGAAGTAGCCATGACTCATCTTTCTTTTTCAATACCTCCCAAAACTAGCACCTATAACTTGCATAGACTGAAGTAAACAACTGATTGTTGGATGATTCTTGTTGTTTTGTTAACATTTAACAGTGAATGGAGTTTGTACTGCTAAATTATCAGAATTTTACTCTTATAGTGAAAATAAGCAGTGCACTGTGATCATGTAAGAGGTTATGTAACAAGGATGTAATCACCATCTCCTGTTAATGATATTGTCCTTATAATGAAGGTTCTCTATGTGTCTCTTTGTGTCTACTTAAAACATAATGTATGATAAATTAGTTCTTATGCAAATCGGAATCCTCACTGAGTGGGACAAGAACTCACTGTCCCTTCTCGCCTAATTGAATACATTTAAAATTAAACCCAATTTTTGAATCGAAGGGCCAGTCAAAATATTTACCTGCTCAGTTATAGAGTCAATATTTCTGCTGACATTCCTGTCATTAAGCTCTCTTTCTTCTCATAGAGTACAGTCTGGACCTTTTTTTTCTTTTTTTTTGCTTGGTGTCTTGGGATGACAATTGTTGTGAATTTGGGCTATACGAATAAAGATTGATTGATTGATTGATTTAAGTTTTTGGTGTTGACATACTTTTCAATGTAAATGAGGCAAATCACACAACTTTCAATTCTGTTCTATAATTATTCTAGTTATCACTACCCCTAATGCTCAAAGTTTGTCGACTTGATAGCAGTCGGTGCCATTGCCAGGATTGCAGGACAGAATTTTTTTTTTTTCCCTTTTAGAGATCATTGTGGCCCAGCAGCTCTTTGGGCTGCTCTCACATTGATACCTGGTCATTATTTCCCAAATCTCAAGACCAGCCTGAGACAGAAACTCATTTTCGCTACATTGTTTACTAATTCAGAATAAGTGGCCTTCCATGATTTTGCCACAGTGTCAACAGGCCATGTGCCAATAATTTATTTACGGAGATTGATTTTATATGACGCGTTGGATCAGGTTGTCCCTATCATCATATTTTTGTTGAGATTTAATCACTATTGTTATGGGGCTTTGGCCAATCAGCATCAAGTATTTGACACAGCCTGCTATCAAGTAAGAAAGTGGGGGTACTACTGGTGTATACTGTATGTGCACCTTTTAACCAACTTCAATAATATACCTGAAGATATTCAATTAAGAGTTTCACAGAAACAATAAGTTAATATTCTGTGGTCAAGTATTATGCTGGTACAACAACTTTTTTCAGTTTTCTCACAACTGCATGACTCGTGGGCTCTGTCTTTTTTGGAGGTACTGGAGTAAATGTGTATCAGCAGCTAAATGTCATCTGCTATAATATCTTTGATATTTGACAAATTAGCATTATTTTTCCACGAGCCACCAAGTGGAGCATCTCCCTGATCTAATAACGATCAATCAAGTAAAAAAAAATTAAAGAAAATTAATACAGGTCATTTTCGACACAGACTTGATAAATACGTGTCCATATTGCATGCACAGTAGCAGCCTGGTCAAGTCCAAGCAATCAGTAACACTATCAAAAAGATTGGTTTGGCAGTATATTGAGGACACCGGTCTGGGTTCTAACTTTACGGCGGGGACTGTGTAATTATTCATGCAGAAATACTTGTGGGTGAATGTAATGTGTAAGCTGGTACACCTGGGGTAGAATTTCAGCGCTCAGAGGTGAATTGAAACACACACAGCAATGACACGATTGGGGTGCTGACACATTCATTAGCACATAGGCAGATTTGACACAGCTGGAAGATGTAGCGAGGAGCTGCTGTCAAGGTCTTGGAATGCTGCAAGACTGGCACAAACTAAGGGTTGGATGCTCATCGCCATGTCATAAGAGACCTGGCGCTGTCTCGTCTCCTTTTTAAAAAAAATATTTTATTTATTTCCCTCCTTCGTTGTGTCGTCGTAACACACTGAGTGTCATCATTTGCATGAGTTTGACACCCCAATGTCTAGCTTCTTTGTCCTCTCTCCAACTTGTTTCCTCTCTGTCCGTCTCTTTCTCTCCCTCTACCCCCCTCTGTTCATCTCTGTCGTCTCTCTCTCCCCCTTTCTCGTGCTCTCACTCCCTCTCTTTTTCTCTCTCTCTGTGCCTCTCCTCTTTCTGCTGATGGTGGCGGTGCCATCCATGCCAATTATGGCGGTCGAGCAGGTGGCTCCTTGCAGGTGGTAGAGGATTAATCCCTGTAAAGACTTCACTTCATTAGGAAATCCGTTTAATGTGGCCAGTTGATTGATAAATCTCCCGGACCTCTCTCAGAGTCCCCAGATTACTGCCAAGTTTGTCTATTATATGCTAGGTTGACCCCGATGTCAGAGACAGAGCGGGGGAGGGAAAGAGAGAAAGTGTTTGTTGTGTCTTTCCAGCTGAAGTTAGTTTCTAGGACTGTTATGCTGTTTGCTGAGTGGGATGCATTATCTCAGGATTTGTGCAAAATGTGCAAATGTGCTTTTGTGAGGAGTGACTGTAAGTTACAGAATCTTACCTGAGATTTTTGGGCACTAATTGTTTAAAATACGTGAGAAATAGTGACAGATTTAGTGGTGCTATTCCAATATTGCTAGCAATGCTAATTTGAGAGCACATCGCACTGTCTTGGTAAATGAGCTCAAAAACAAACAAAAGGAAGGCTTTGGCTGATTTGATTTAATACCATAGTATGCGCAAGTGTGAAAACTATCCTAACATTTAAGAATGAATTGTAAGAACTTGCCTCAGTAGTCTCAGACCACCCACACTCCTCTCTCTGTGTCAAGCCCTTGCACTTAACTCAAGTATCTCCTTAACTCACCCCTCTATAATTTTCTATCCCAGTATTATCACAATTACCCAGTGAGCCAGGAGGGGAGGGAACTCCCCCCCGCTGCTCGTGACTGTCTGTGTGCCACCCGCGGGCTTGTGGTCGGCCTGGATTTGTGAAACACTGACAGACAACCCCTTCATCAAGCCTGTCAAACACGGATGACAAATGCGTCTCCACATCCCCAAGATGCCTACAATATTTAAAGCCATGGGAGAATGGCGAAGCCGACAGAGAATAGCCGCTCCTGGCAGACGCAAAGTTCAAGCCGCGTCAGGCTGTATCATTCTCAAATTGTGAGGAGAGACTCTGGGTTGAACCTGATGGCGTGTTGACTTAATGATTCTGACAGAGCATATATGGTGTCTGTCTCAGGTTTCTACAAGGCAGAGAAGTCAAGTCAAAATAAATTTCATCGACTTAAAGATGGATTCAGTTACAGAACAGCATATCAAATATGGAAATAATTATCTCACAGTGATTTATCACATAATGTAACCGTTTTTAAATCCAGTTTGTCACAAGAAAAACACACTTTAAAGACTATATTTCAAAGGTACTTGTCAAAGACACCGATGTACTGACAAATTTCCATAAAACCTGACAGTACACACACGTATGTACACATAACGTCCACAATAGCTCGGAGATACAGTCAGGCTATCAGGCAATCAAACATACAGTCATTCCTCTTCCAGCTGCTACCAAGCATGTAACTATATTGCTTTGCCCGGTGCTCGAAGCCTTGTCAAAAAATGACAGAAGATCACACCTTTTTTCCCAGGGTGAGTGCTTTAATTACAGGCTGCCTTCTAGCCTTACCACAGCTGTACAAATGTCAGTCCAAAGTTCACCGCTCTTTGTGGAGGAGAGCTGCTTACAAAAAAGAAAATAAATATATGGTGCTCATTGTTAGGCAACAGGGTATTGTTACACAGAATTCTTGCGTTTGAGGTCACCTCCGCCCTTCTTTTTTTTCGGTCTTATGACAAGTCATGTGCGCCATCATTACTCATGCTCACTATCACATTTCCCTAACAGTCCTTGGCATGCACACTTTGATATCTAATATTATAATTGCTGCAGGGTCATACGTCTTGCTGTCCTTTGCATTAATAAATGGGTTGTGAGACAATAAGCAGGTGTTTG